CAAAGCTAAAAGTAGGTTCTAGGTCAGAAGAAACCAAAATAGTGTGATGCTGTCTGAAACTAGTCCTGTTGAGACGTATAGATGTTTTTAAATTAAAGAGGCAGAGTATAATGAAGTGGCTGAAAGCGTGGACTCTTAATTGAGCAGACTTGGTTCTTAGTCTAGGCTGCTACTTACTAGCTTTGTTCTCTTGAGATTGCTTCCTCTCTTCTCTCATTTGTAAGATGGGCTTATTTGGTTTAAATTAGGTGATACGTGTAACAACACACTTAGCACAGAGCATGGCTTAGTGAATAGCTGTTACAATTACTGTTGCTTTCATCCTAAATTCTTCAAAGGCACAAAATACACTTGAAAACATCTTTAAAAAAATTTTTTTAACCACTCATTTCATGTTAGACTAGGGAAGAAAACTCTGCTTTTATGGTTTTGTTTTGCTTTTTACTATGACACCCACCTTTTCGGAAGCAAACTCGGCAGTGATCTCACCTATTTGGAAAACAGTGAACCAGAAAGAGAACAGGCTCTCTAAGGAACAGAAGCAGGTATTGCAAAGCGAGTTCCTACAGCTGCTTGGACAGGTTCATGGGTGCTGGGGGAAGGAGCCGGGCTCTCCAGCCTGTGCTCTCAGACTAGCCAACCTGTACTCAGCCTACTTCACCTGCAAGGGGGTTGTGAAGGTCAGATGAGGTAATACAAATGAATGCACGCTCTGGCCTTTTCACACAGGATTCTGACACTCTTATTCATTCAGTGCATATTCTACACTCACATTGCCCCAGGCACTGGGCCAAATGCTGCGAATACAAAGATGAGTAAGGCAGTGTCTGCTCTCACAGAGCTCTGGGTGTAGAAACAGAGGTTGGAGAGTATTCGGTACATTGACTCTCATCAGAGACGTGTGCTGAGGGAGCACAGGGAGAGCCTGGGAGTGTCAGAGAAGGTTTCCTGGGGGAGGTGTCATCTGAATCGAATCTTGAGGCCAGATAGGAGTTAAGGAAGAGGGTGGTAGAACTGAGTAAAAATTAGTAAATTACAATAATAATAGCTATATTTATAGAGGTTTCACCCTGTAGAGTGTTCTACTTACACTAAGTTTTTTATGATATATCAGTGAATCTGCACAAGAACCTAATGATGTGTAGATATTACCTCCATTTCACAGAAGTAAGCTCAAAGAAGTGAAATTACCTTCCCTAAGACACCTGTTTAGTGGCAGAAGAGGAATTTGAACCCAGGTTTTTATGATTGCAGGACCCATGCTCATGCAGCTTCCACTATACAGGGTTTATATTCGTTGGTGTATTAGAGATAGAAGTATAGAATATTATATTCGTTGGTATTAGAGATAGAAGAAATATAGAATATATTTTAGAAAGATTTCCATTCAGAATGGCTAAAATAAAAGCTTTGGCGCGAAAACTTTACTTCTCTGGCACCATCTCCTTTAGCCAGATCAGATTTAGGGATTTCAGTCAAGTTCATTCAGAAAAACATCAGATGGTTGTAATAGTTATGAGTATGGGCCCCAAGCCAGACTGTCTGAGTTCAGATGCTGGCCCTGCCACTCCCTAAATGTATGACTGTAGTTCTCAGTTTCCTCATCTTTAAAATGGCAGTGCTGATGGCACTTGGAGTTGTTAGGAGGTTTAAATGAGTTCCTACAGGTAAAGCTTTTATAACAGTGTCCTCGCAGTATTAGTATCAGTGAAGAAGTGGGGTTCCAGTCATCAGAAAAAAGCCAAGTTGTATTTTTAAGATTCAAGGTTATGTTTTGCCTTAACCCCCATATGTGTTATCCTTTAAAACAGGTTGTTAAACTGGAGTTATGGATGGACTTGAAGAGGGTTTTCATCAAATTCTCAGAGTCCTGTGACCTCAAAGAGTTAAGCAGAGCTGCTTTATAAAGAGCATTAACAAGTTGTTCTTTGAAAGGTCTTGTTATTGTGACAGATGTCATCGAACATTTAAAAGGATGTTCTGGTTATAAAGTTACAACATTCTGAGAGTCATTTAGTAAGTGGACTCAAGGCATGTGCTACTAATAAAACAGTATCCAAGCTTTCAAAATGTTAGCATTTTATTAAAGGCGAATCCATGTTATTCCAGATGCAGCCACTGTGATTCACTTGCAGAACTGTATGTTTTCTTGCACAAGAAAGTCTAGAGTGGAAATACTGGCCTTGCATTTGAATCATGTGGAAATGTTTTATATGTATATAGATCACCCATTGTTTGTGTATTTCTAACTACTAAATGTCTGCCCTGGAAAAATTTTAACCCCTTAAGTTTGAATTTTGAACTTTAGGTCCACAGACTGAAGTTGCATCTTGCACAATGGTTAGGTTCTAAGGTCAGCACAGAAGGTGAAAACTGTTAGTTTCTCTTGAGAATCCCTTAGGAAGGCTCCACAATGGAAGCCAGCAGATTCTGAGTCCAGTAGAAGGTCAGCCTGATGCAGCTAGATTTTTCCCTCTTCAGCACCAGATGAAATCATTGGTGTATGTGCAGGAGCCATAATTTTTTAATTATCTTGAATACTGTTAGCTCCAGACAGAATCACACTTGATTGGTAGTGAGTTGCACACACTGAGAGAGACCAAGAACTATCTGGGGAAAGATCTATGCTCTATGTCACACTTTTCTTCAAGGAACAGGTTCTTAGAGTGGAATCACCCAGACTAATCATATATGTATTAATAAATGAACGGCAAAGTACTTTGATAGGTTACTTTTTTGTTACCTTTGAAATCTTTCCTTTTTAGTCTGTGCTTTTTCTTTGCTATTGAAATACTTTTAATATCACACATAAGAAGAGCCATCCACTTCTCATGTACTTTATTCATGATCAAATAGTATATAGTATTAGTTGAAGCCGGGAAAAGATGGTAGGCCTTTAAACTTTAAAGTTCATGTGTTTTCCACTATTTTGTGCTGCATGACTGCCTTAGAATAAGATTTGGGCTTTGAGCAGATCCTCTTTAACTACTTACTATACCCAGTACAAGTACTCAATAAATACTAGTTTATTTTCAAGAGGAATCCTTTCTTCAGTATGTGGACTTAGATCTAATATTTTGGCCAGGAGTTCTAATGAGTTGTGTCAAGTTACCTTTAATTTTATATTACAACTGTAGATAGCCTTGGAGAATAGGGAGCAGTAACCTTTTATAGTATTATATCATGTTTGAGAAAACATTGTTAAAACCCCTTGCAAGTTTTATAGTATAACCAAATGAGCTCTGAATCTTCTCAAGCACATATCCTTTCTACTGTTCTCAATATTTAGTAGTGAGATTGAGTCTACAGTTGAGAAAGATTTGGCTATGTATAGACTTCCACAAATTATTCTTTCATCTTGTATTCTAAATGTCAGACCTTTTGATAACTCATTTTTAAAGATTAGGTTTTTGGTTTTTTTTTAGTTTAAAATTTTCGAAGCTAAATTTGTAACATGCCACAATTTTTATCTCCAAAGAAGTACTATCTCATGCAAAGCATTTACTGTGGAAGGTATTATGTGAGTGTTTCCATTCCTCAAAATGGTTTTAGAATTCCTTTTAGAATTAAAATTAGAGCCATCCCACAAGCTTTTTAATTGCCATCAGTCCCAGCCAGTCTTTGGTAATTATTTTATGAGAACAATATTAGGTACTGAGTCAGGTGAACAGAATGTCTGATCAGGCTTAGTTTAAAAACAAGATACAACTCCACAGAGTCGTGAGACAGGACCGATTGTGTTGTTTGGTAGTCTGTTTTTGGTCATAAAATCTGACCTTTAAGGCAAACAAAAGTTCCCAGTAACTTTTAAAGCACTAAACATTCGTGCCATTTTAATAACTGCAAGATCAGAAAGGACTATCTTGGGAGGACTGATCTTATTTCGATACTCAAAGATGAGGTTTAAAGGAAAACCATACTGAAAACATCTACTTTATTAGATAAAGATTATAAAGGGATAATCCCTTCTTTTTAAATAGTTTTCTCCCCACCCCAATAAAGAAGCAACATATATTTTTTTCTTTGGCCCCATCATGCAGAGCCTGGAAGTCAGGCTACCTAGGCTGTAGTCATTCTGGCGTTATCACTAACATAGTTGTGGGACCCAGGCAAGTCACTATTTTCTGAGTTTCCTTTTTCTCATCCTCAAAATGAGAGGTTTTGACAGATGCCATCTAATGTATCTTTTCAGGTAGGAACCCCTAACTTTTTTCCATCAGTCTATGGATAGTTGTAAATGGAATGTATAATAGGATATAATCTTTGTTTTAAGTATCCCTCATTGAACTGGCTCTCTCTTAAAAACCATGCTTTACTCTTGGAATTGTCATGATATAGTGAAGAATAAACATGCTTCCAGTAGTACAAAGCAGTTTGTTGAAGCAAAAGAGGTTCATTCGTCTTACATTTACTACCAAAGACTTGTCTTTAGTTATTTATTTACCTCTCACCTTGCACCACAAGAATGTGAACAATAAAATAATTATAAACTACAAGTGACAGTGAAAACAAGATTGGGGAAATTATAAGATTAGAACTCAAAACCAGAGGAACAAAAGAAACATAGATTTGGCTCTTGGTTTTCAAAATTTAAAGGGAACTTACGTGGTTGTTACTTTCAAAGATGAGAAAAGTGACATCCCAAGAGAAGTAAAGCATTTTCTTAGCACTTAGTTCTGAAAGAATATGTAAAATGGGATTTTATATAAGAATAATAAAGGGCTTTTCAAATAATTATCACGCAGCTGCAACAATCTGAAACATCTAAAACTAAGTTAGCATGTATTTTTTACCTTCTAGAAGTAAAACTGATAGTCATCTCTGAGTGATAAGTAACATGGATTAAAAATTAATTTTCCTGTTTAGGAAAGCTGGTTAGTAGTTTAGAATTCTTTTATGACAAAGTGTAGATATCTTTCCTATTTTGTGACCAAGATTCAGGGTTACTCGACTTTGGTTCTAATTAAGTCTTACCCTGTTCTATTTTTATGTGGCACTAGCCAAAAAAGAAGAACATGTCAGCCTACCAGGTGTTCTGTAAAGAGTATCGTGTAACCATTGTGGCTGACCATCCAGGTATAGGTAAGAACATTTCTGATCTTTAGTTTTTTACTTTCCATTTGTATCTCTGAAGCAGTGCAATTAATTCAGTCGGTCAGCAGGCAGCTTCTTCCCATAGTATTAAAAGAATATAGAACTCATTTTTTTTCTCAGTTCTGCAAGTCACTCACCCCAGCCATAAGAGATAAGCTTTTCACTTATATCTCTTAAACTGATCAAATGGGAAACGGAGTAAAATTGAATGTTGTGAGGCACAGTACATAAATATGCAGTTTACTTCTAGAACTCTACAGTTGGCCTTTTCATTAAACTGCCCTTGGGTGTGGAGTTATAGTGAAATAGTGAAATGACTTATTGTTCATATTTGTCTCTATATTAGAAGTTAGTGAGGTGAGAAAAACACAACACTCTAGACCTTGGACAAGGTACTTAACCTCTATAAATCTCATTTGCCTAAGATGTAAAATAGCCTGCTATTCAACATGAGGCACAGGTCAAATACTATAAAAGATACGAAGGAGCTTTATAAAGACTGGCCTTGCTATACCAGTGGAAGGGCAGCATACACAGCTGGAGGACTGCTTCTGAGATGCTCCAGGGAAATTCTTGTGTGGTTCTGAGCTCTCAGAAATTCAGTAAAAATCTAACACCTTGTATCAAATTTTACTTATTTTCCTTAACCTAAATTGATAAGCCCTGTATCATGGGATCAAATTAAATGACACTATAAAGATGCTTAAGGAATAAATTCCCAGAGAGTAGGTGTGTGAGGATTTGAGCCTCTCATGACCACCAGAACAGCCCCTTCCCTACAGAAAAGAATCAAGAAAACTGATGGGGTTTGGTTTGGTTTGGTTTGCATTTCTGAAAAATCTTATGCTATTTAAATCCGATTTTCACAGCTTTTTTCCATTTGTTGCTCTCATCAATCTTCTGTTTTGCTCATAGTAAAACCTTTACTTTATGGGTTTTTTACTCTTTTATGCCAGATTTTGGGGAACTTAGTAAAAAACTGGCTGAAGTATGGAAGCAATTGCCAGAAAAGGACAAATTGGTAAGTACACTTTCTTATGAGCACATTTTTTAATTGCTTTATGCCTTCCAAAATGTGTGATCCTCCTATAGACCACCCAGCTGAGCAATGCTGAAAATAGTGAAAAAAATGACAGATCAATGGAAAATGCTTTAGTAGAAAAGGGCATCAACGTTGGTTGGTGCCAGTTTATTCTAGGTGAAGATTTAGCTGCAGGGAAGCTGTCTTTTCTAACTAACCTCTTCTAATTTTTTTACAACAACCTTGCCTTTGAGCCAAAATATGACCTAACTTGGGCAGTGATTAAAGTGTTAAAAGAGAATCTCAAGTCCTATTACTACAAATACCTACTAGTCAGTCAAGGTCTGAGAACTGAGGAAAGTCGTCCAGTAATAGTCACTGAAAGGAATAAAAACATGGAGATTATGTTTACTAGGTAACCAGGTTCCAGGTCATCATCCTCATCAGCTACTACCAAACAATGTACCCTACAATCCAGACGCTAATAAGACAATGACAAAGTCGTGTCTGAGTCCTTCAGAGTCAATTTCCAATTGGATGATACGAAAGTGGTCTGGGAATTAAAATTACCATCTTGCGTTAAGGTACAGCTCATCTAGGTGAAACAACTGAAATGTTTTTCACTCAGGTAGATTATCTTTAGTTTCTGTTTTTTATGTCAGTGTTCTGCTATTGCTATTGCTATTGCTAAGCAGCAGGTTAGAAGAAATATTTAAACCACATGGACATTACAGTGAACCAGATGTTTACTCCGTGATTTTACATTAGGACCTTAGAATGATCTAAAACTCAATGCTGAGATCTGGCCATTGGCACTGAGAATGTTTGTAGTCCTGTAATCACTGTCTGAAGCCTGCTCAGTGACCCTTAGCTTAAAGGTTAGCATTAACCGTCCGTCTGTCCCCCCACCCCACTCCACTGTTCCCATTCTTTTCTTCATTCTATTCTTCCATGCCTGCTTTCCATTTTACTTTTCTGTCCCTTTTAATTTATTTATTTTGCCCTGATCTGATTGCAGATTTGGAAGCAAAAAGCCCAATATCTACAACACAAACAGAACAAAGCAGAAGCTACAACTGTGAAAAGAAAAGCCTCCAGCTCAGAAAGTTCCATGAAAGTAAAAGGTAGTGACCGCATCCCTCTCCTGTTTTTAATTATTTTCCTTAGAGCACTGTCAGTTTTCCTTCCTTACTGAGAAATTGGGAGAGCAGACTATATGAGAAGCAGATCTTAATACCCAGGTATTATTACTGAATATTATAGATTGCAAAAACAAAAAAATTAGAAAATGGAAATCAGAAGTCAGGAAACTTTTTCTGTAAAGGGCCAGAGTGTAAATATTTTAGACCTTGTGTATTGTCCATCACATTTTCTTTGTTTTATCTATAACCATTTAAAAATATAAAATTATTCTTGCCTCACAAGCCATACAAAAACAGGTTATGGGCCAGATTTGGCCAACAGTCCATAGTTTTGCTAATGCCTGGTAGAGCTCATAAAAAGGGAAAATCAGGAAAGACATTTTTGTGGTGTTCAAGGCCATAGCAAGCTTGATCTCTTTATTTTGTTTCTGTTCTCAGCTTCCTCTGTGGGAGTACTGTCACCCCAAAAGAAATCCCCGCCCACTACCATGCTGTTACCAGCCTCACCGGCCAAAGCTCCTGAGACAGAGCCCATAGATGTCGCTGCTCATCTCCAGCTGTTGGGAGAGTCCCTCAGCCTCATTGGACACCGCCTGCAGGAAACTGAGGTGAGCACAGCTGTCAGCAGCATGACGCCCGTGAATGACATAATTTGAATCCATTCAGTCCATATATATGCATTGAGCCAACTACTTCATGCTAGATTATGCCAGGTATTCAGGATACAGTTATAAAGAAGATATTTAGTAACAAAAACATCTGAAGATTTAGAATCAAAGTTTACACTAATACCATCCTATTGAAACAGCAGCACAAAATAAATTAGAACACCCTATAACATTTTTTCTAGTTTTATTGAGATATAATTGATATAACTGTGTAACTTATTTTTTAAAAATGCAATGGAAAAAGTACAAATCTCATGGAAGTTTTGATCATTTGTACTTCTAAGACACTTTGAATTTTTCCGCACATTTCCAGCAATGTTTGGAATAGACAGATTAGATTATAGAGAATTAAGAGTTCCTCTACTTTTTCGAAAATTGGTAGCAAATAGGGAAATTGAGGTTCTCAAGCTCTTCATTACTCTGTACTTTACTTGACTTGTACAGTGTGATGTGCCCTAGGGAGATCTTTTAAGCTTCAATTTCAAAATCACTTAACCTGCAGAGCTGTCATGTTCCATTTCTATTACCATATTCAGTTTCTAATCATATTGCCCCCTTGGCTAACTCAGGAGTATAGTATGTCAGTTTTCCTCTGGGTTCTAATAGGGGACTGCAGCAAAGAAATTAGGCTAAGCTGCTAAAACTGTTTTTAAGCGAGAAATCTGTAGGAATATAAAACTGTTCACTTCTATGTGGAAGTTGAATTATTATTCAACAAATAAAATGCCAAAGGCCATAAGAGATAAAGCTGTATCTGAGCTCTTTGGCTAGTTTCAAAAATTTAGCAGGTGTTGAAACAGCTAGAGTACTTTCATGTAGGCTTAGATATTTGAATGGATATAGATATTTCCAGAATAAAATATTATGGAATCCTTATTTATTTTCATAGTTAGACATTCTTATGTTTTCTAAAAAGTTAGAATTAAGCATGGTTTATTATATGCTCTGTCCATACTCTAGATTTTTTCCTCATATGTCCATTTAGTTTAGCAAATAATTTGTTGAGTATCAAGGCATTATTCCACAAACTTGGGGGAGAAGAAAATCTGAACAGCTTCCTAATTAATTCCCGTCATCAGGAAACTTGCAGTCTAATTAGAAAGAGAATAGATACATAATTAGAAAATTAAAAGAAGCCAGCTTCTGTGAGCCTTTGCTGTGTTAGTTCATAGTGACCAAAAAAGGGAAAGAATTTTGCAGAATCTCTAGTCCACTTTTCTTTACGTAAGTCTTATTGAGATATAATTCACATACCATAAAGTTCACCTTCTTAAAATGTAGAACTTAGTGGGTTTTAGTATATTCACAGAATTGTGGACTCATTACTAATTCCAGAACATCTTCATTACCCCCAAAAGAAACCCCATACCCATTAGTTGTCATTCCCATTTCCCCCTCTACTTCACTTTTTCCGACTTTAATTATTTGCATATATCCTCAGTTTTACAATTTTCACATATCACTTATACTGTATTGCTTTATATTTTTATGTAAATAAATCTGTCCATGCTTTCAGAATGATATTCTCAATATCATTGTGATGTTATTTTTCTAATATACATCGAAATGGATGTATAGCAAAATAACTTATGTTCACCTATGTGCCACCTGCAATTACATACTATCCTTTAAGGAACATTGACTTTCTATAGTTTGCTGATTTAAAAGATTGACTATCTGAAGTCTAATGAAATTAAGTGACTATTACAAGTCTACATGGTTCCTGCCCTCAACTTACTTATAATCCATTAGGAGAATCGGACATAAAATGTTAGCTATAATTAACTGTAGGGCAAAAGTAATTGCTAACTTTCATGGAAAGCTTACTCAGCTTTGGTTCAGAGTTCTATGTATGGATTCTTTCATTTAATTCACAGTGCAGCTATGAGAGGCAGAATTTTTATTCCTATTTTACGCAAGAAAATAGTTAAGTAACTAGCTCTGGAGTTCAGCCCACAAATGCTGTAACAGAGGCTTGGATTTGGTGGCTCAAGGTACGTGCTCTTAAACCCTTGCTGTACCGCTTCCCTTGGAGGGGAGAGCTCCTCCTGTACACTGGACAAGGAGTACGAGGGAAGGAAGAATCAGTAGTGGCCTTGAGACTGGGCACTTCTATGAATGGCAGTGACCTTAGCAGAGAAAGGGATGCTAGGATGAGGAGTAGGTTATTTCTCATTACAGCACATTGAAATTGAGAAATATCCAAAATGAGAGACCTAGCAGGCAGCCAGCCAGAAATGCAGTTTTGGCAATGAAGATGTTGGTAATAATAGTAATAATTACTGATACTTTCGAGCCCTTACTGTGTACCAGGCACCATCCAACTACTTTATATCCATCATTCACTTACCCCCCTCCATGCTACAGGTGCTGTTAGTACTTTGTTTTACAGGTACAGCAAAGTAAGCAGCTTGAAAAACGAGTGGGACAGCCATGTTCTGGCCCCAGCAGTCCTGACCCAGAGCTCAGTCTCAGAAAGACTCTGCTATACGGCCCCACTAGTTGATACATCTTCACAGTACTTGTAGTTGAAGCGGATTATGCAAGAGCTGAGCAGTGGTATTTGCAGCAAGCAATCTTATTTCTTCTCTCTTTGAATCAAAGATATAAACAATATGAATTGTACAAGTTGATAAAATTTGAAATGAACCATATTTACTTCTTTTTGAGAGTGAATAACAACCCAGAAAAGTACTGTCATCAGCTTTCAAAAGCCACATGTGTGCATGCTTATATTAAATGTTAACGTGTAGGACTGTAGAATTCTCAGTTACCACATTTGAGCTATATTTGTTGCAAAGAAAAATACTTTTGCATATTTGATCCCCACAAATCTTCCCAGCAGCTCTCTGAAGTAGGTAAGGCATTTTTTACTATTCCTTAGGGGTTTTTTTTGTTTAACTATTCGTGACTAATCCAAGGTCACATAGAAGATAAGACGGGTAAGGAATATAGAAAAGAAACCTGGGAATGTATCATAAAAGTTTTCTTTTTAAACAACTACAGACTTCTCAAAGCAGATCCCTCCCATATCTGCTACTAGTTTCATAGAACTGCCTAAGGCTTAAAGAACCACATGAGGAGGTCAGCCACAACGTGGAGGGAGCATCAGGGGTGTGATTCGAGCTACAGCTCACTCTCCTTAACGTTCTCCGTTTCAGGGTATGGTGGCTGTGTCTGGCAGTTTGTCAGTGCTTCTGGATTCTATTATCTGTGCGCTTGGCCCCTTGGCATGTCTGACCACACAACTACCTGAATTGAACGGCTGTCCCAAACAGGTCTTGGTGAGTTTTCCTTGTTCTTGGATTTTGGGGGCCAGACCCCTTGGGAGCCAGAGAGGCCCTGCCTTGATGAGCCCTATCAGGCACAGAGCCATAGGTTTCCTGGCACGACACATAGGCTCCCTTCATATATCAGCCCAGGAACACGGTACTGTATTGTTGAATGCATGCCATGCTTTCAGTGAAACTCGAAAACATGCCATTTCCTAAAATAGTCCTTTGGAGAGAAGCATTCTAGTCCTCAGATGCAACTCCTGTGTTTCCTGTTCGCTCTTCCACACGCAAAGAAAGTGCAGGAGTCCTCTGCCCCTTTTTTACTGGGATAATTGGGAAAAGTCAGCAAAAAAGCTCCTAGCATAACACACGACAGGGTGCCATCTTCATTCCGATTTTTCTTTCTCATCTCTCTCCCCTGAACAGAGAAATATGTGTCAGGGAGCTAAGGTATAGTACTCTTCAACTGAACCTTTTTCTCGTGTTTTGCAGTCAAACACTCTAGACAACATTGCTTACATCATGCCTGGACTGTGACAGCAAAGAATCCTGGGACAGAAACCTTATCCTACCCCATTGCTGGTTTGTGTATATATGGCTGTTCCAGATCCCTTCACTGGCCCCTGGGTGTAGGTTTTAAATTTTTATATACATACATATATATATATATAATGTACAATATATACATAGGACTGTAACTACTCTGCTTTTAATAATTTTATGAAATGGCAAAGGTTTAGCCAAGAGGAAAACTTGGCATGAATATAGGCTTGGGATTTTTTCTCCTGTGGTGGATAAATCTGCCTTAAAAATCAATGTAACTTAGGGGCTGGGGGCTTGTTCTGGGTGCCAAGTGCATCTCTTTATGGACAGCTAAAATGTGATTTTTTCCAAACTCACTTGTACCTCCAGACCCATCTCTGACCATTTGCCTTACCTGTCTTACAGTCTGAAATGTAATAGGAAAGATTATGGGAAAAGGCCAGTTGACTGAAAGTGCAAAGCCTTTCAACTTGAAGCGACCCAGGTGGGAGGTGATAAAACCATTCCCATCTTAGAATTATTGCAGCGGCTTAGGTAAACTTGGTAGGGGGTTCATTCCAATTCCTGCTATATAGGTGTCCATGTCTCGAAAATTATTGTAATCATTGGTACCATTGGCAGCCTCAGGAGGGGCTGAGTTCGTGAGCCCTGGCAGCTCCGTGGAGAGGGCAAAGCTGTCAGTGCCACCAGCTGAACTGCATGTATTGTAAGCTGACCCAGAATCTCTGGTCTGCAGAACGAAGGGCTAGTATCTTCCATTGGCAGCATTTGCTTAGCCACCAGGTCCTCACAGGTTCTGCTGCTTCACTACTTGGTGGTTGTGGAAGATGAACTTTGCCCAGCGGGATTCTTGGGTTCATCTTATCGGCCCCCCTGGTGGGCAGATACACAGTGTTCTGCATTCCACACATAAGTGAATTGCAAAAAACGTACTCGATTCTCATGCAGGTTTATTTATGTACGTGTGTGAATGTGTGTTTTAATTATGTGTATTTAACTCTTTAAAATCTCTTAGATTTTAATTTATCCTGTAAATTTCTGTATATATAATTTAATAACAAAAGCCTCCACCAGCAACAGCATGTGGAAGATACAGATTTGTTTTTCTTCCTCCCTTCCTTTCTCTGGCCTCCTCTGAAAACTCCAAATCATTTACATTTTAAGGTATCGTGCCTGAAAAAGGAATTATTATGTCAGGATTCTAATTCTTTATAATTCAATAATGTCAAGAAAGTAAAATAAAAAGGGATGTTTCCATTCCCAGCTGCCCTTATTTCCAAAGAACCAGACTTTTGCTTCCTAGTTCCAAAGAAGACAGTTGAGCGCGTCAGGGTCGTTTTTACATGTGGTGTGAGATTCCCTGCCAAAACCCATCTCTGAGCTAACTGCTTTCCTCCCTGGGCCTGGACGGAGCTCCAAGCATCAGAGTAGACCTCTGAGGACAGTGCAGCCAGCCTGCATCCTCCCCTTCTCCCCTCTGGTGTGGTCACGGGGCTGTGTTTCATAAAGGTGTTCTGGCTGTTGAATGTCTTTCTCAGCTCAGAGAAGTTTTGAGATTTAATTGGGGAAACAGAAGGAAACAGGAATGTTTGGAAACCAAAATCAAGAACAGAAATCTTGTTTTGATTTCGTGTTGTTAGAACCTGTACCACGCCTCATCTGTACCCATGGAGGTTTCCTGTTTGACACAGGGTATGAAGGAAGACATGGATTAGTACCGAAAGAAGTCAGTCCTGCCATTGTCATTTGTATACATTAATGACATCCTGATGAGGACCTGCTTTTTGTTTGTTTTCCTTTAAAATCCAGTCCTATTGTATTTGTATTTAAAAATTTGTATACATTTGTATGATAATCCGTACCTTGTGGTATTTGGTACTATTAGAGGAAAAACTTTGGATTCAGACCTTCTTGCAGTTTTATATCATTGTTTTATTTTGTTTTTTTAAATAAAATCTAGTGGTTTGATCCAAATTCCATTACAGTTGTATAAAGATATAAAATTTTGTACTTATATTATTAAAAATCACATTTTTAATATTTATAGTCCAGTCTCAGCTATCTTTTCCCTGCTGCCAACCAAAGTTGCTTCAAAATTATAAAATCTGTCTGTTTTTCACATTTTAGCCTATGATAATTTTCTTAAAAAGAGGAATTCATCTGGAATAGAGGTCAAGTTTCTGATCTTAACCCTGAACAAGCCCGATCCCGTCTGATCTCAGAAGCTAAGCAGGGTCAGGCCTGGTTAGTACTTAGATGGTAGACCACCTAGGAAGACCAGGCATAAAAAATAAAAAAATAAGGGATTGTAAACTGACAAGGTCCTTGCAATCTGTGAGGTCAACCAAGGGTTGCCTCTCCTAAAAAAAAAAAAAAAAAAAAAAAGTTTCTGATCTTAGCTATTTTCTTAACATACATCTTGCTTTGTTTCTGTTAACTTTTAAGTGTTCTCTTTTGCAGACTGCAAACCCAGTGACTGATAAGTGTAGCTCTGTTCATTGGCAAATAAAATTATATGTACATTACGGTGTTTCCTTAAGAAAATATCACTCTTGGTAAGGTTCACATCTGAATTATGCTTAAATATATTTCATGCTGTTTCAGTAGTGTCCTGACTTAGTGATATTGGATAAGTCACTTTATAAGTGTCCAAAGTCCCATCTGTAAAAACAGTCTTAATGTCGCTTCCCTGTCTCCACACCGGAAGCCAGGCAGCCTGATGTGAACATTTAGTAATACTGGGAACATTTAATACATGGAAATTTGACCTTTTTCAAGATAAATGTTTCAGTGCAAACACAAGGTGTTAATAGACATAGTGAAATATGAGGCTAACTTCTCATGGAGAGGTAGCAAGAAAGCCATATTATAGAGAGTGATTTGCATGTTTTATCTCACTTAATCCTCTCAAAAGCTCTATAAGTATTATCCCCCTCTACAAATGAGACAGATGCAGAAAGGTTTTCTTAAGGTTATACAGCTAGTAAATGGCAAAGCAGACCCAAAGCCACTTCAAAGTTCAATCTTATACGTAATTCATCAGACTCTTTCTCCGTTACCTACACTACTGAGCAAATGTGATTGTAGGAAAACTATCAGACTTTTCCATTGTTCAGATGTCCTTTTGTCCTACCTGGAAGGCCTCACTTCTTGTCATACTACTGTCTTTAAACTTTGTTGGCAAAGTATCTTGATTTTTGTCTAACAGTACGTACCTAAAGGATATAAGAGGTTATGTTACACTTATGCAGTATGTCCATTTAAAGGGAGGTAAACATTTTTACCTTCAGGAAGGCATTTGATATTAATATCACTAAAACAAAGGGCAATTTTAAAACACTTTTTACTAAATGAGTTTGTTTCTTGTTAGCACTTTAAAAAGCTTTAAAACATCAGTTTTGTACTGTATTTAATAGTTACCATTTATATTCCTATCAACAAAATCCACACACTTCTAATTGAATAGCTATATAGTATTCTGTTTGCATGGAGTCAACATGATTCCACTCCAAGTTAGGGGGCGGGGGTATGTGGGTTGTTTCTGCCTTTTTACTATGAAGAATAAAACCTATGGCTGTTTTATTCTTGGCAGTAAAGCTAATATCTTCTGCTCATAATCACTCTAAACCAGAGTAATGCAGGAAGGCAAGAACTTCTGGTAAGTCACCACCCAAACTAATGGAAGAATCCAAAGGAAGTTCATGCTAAATAAACTCCATATAACCAAGCAATATTCTTAAATGAAAAATACGGGTAGTACCTGACATGAAGACCATCCTAAATGTACACGGACATCCTAAATGTCCAAATACCATTAGTGAAAGGTAGACTGATTTAAATTTTCTTATGTTACTCATTGTGCTACAGTGGAGAGCAAAATAGACATAGTATCCCAGCCCTCATGGAGCATCTAGACTAGCTGGAGGAAGGGCATTTATTAACAAGTCTCGTGCACTTCAAAGCACAGGAGTACCTGACTTCCATAAAGGTTTTATATTGTGCAGTGAAGATAACAGCCCTCAAACAGGCTGACACATCTGTTAAACAGGTTAACACAGAGAAGTGCTTTAAGTTCTTATTTAGGTTTTCCATCCTTAAATTTGTGCAGTCAATTTACCAGCCTTACAAATTTAAGAATCACAAACATCGTGATCAATAAATAGTAAAGCCTCAAAAACTACCAAAGCAGTAGTTATTGTATCTTTTGGAGTGCATGTCATTAGAAGAAAAACCAATACAGCAGGTATCTAATGTGCAAGTGACATATCTGAAACATGCCACGACAGGAAAGCTAAAGGAGATAGAATTACAAGGCTGGGGAAGGCTTTTGGGTTAATTCGTAACTTGAGGTCCACAGCTGTACTTCAGGGACCCCAGAAACTCCTTGAAGCTAAATTGTGCCTCTGCCTTTTCTCTTCAGAGAGGCTCGTGGCTTCAAATTCTCAAAGGAGCCTGTGTCCTAAAAAAAGAAAAGTTGAGTCCTTGATCTAATTCCAGCATCCAGAGAAAATAGATGCTCACTGTTTGAATCACACAGTAAATGAATGGCAGAGATGGGTCCCAAACCCTACTCGTGACTACATCTATATGCTTTCTTCTACCTTGGAGTCTACGCCGTCCCAAGTTGCAATTCACTGAGTTGGCTCTCAGTGTCCAGGGGTCTCAAACCCCTGGATCTCCGACCTCAGAGAGGAAGAGTCCTGTCAGTGCAGGGAGACAACAGGCTAGAGAGGCTGGGTGTATAGTCAAAAGAGTAAGTCCCAAAGGCTAAGACACTTCAGAGTGACAGCTGTAGTCTGAGCTTGCTCTGTAACCTTACCCAAGCCATTTCTGTGGTCCAAGATCCGGTTTTCCCGGCGTGTTAAGAAATTGCTAGGCCACGCCCCTAAGCCTTAAAAATCGTTGAGGGCGTGGCTTAGAGGCCCACGTCCTCCCCCATGCCCCCTACCGGGCTACGTCGTGCGTGACGTCCGCCGACGCTGAGTAAGCCGAAGTGAGGTCACCGCCCTCCGCCTCGGGGCGCCCGACCCTCCACGTCAGGGGCGGGGCCTGCGGGCAAGCTCCAGACTCCCTCCGCCCCGCCCCCACCGGCGCCACCTCGCGGACCATCCGGCGAGTCACGTGACGGATCGGCAGCGCTGGCGGTTGCTGTCAGCTGATTCCACGGGTTGGTGGCAGCAGCAGCCGCAACCATGGACTTTCTCCTAGGGAACCCGTTCAGCTCTCCGGTGGGACAGCGCATCGGTGAGTCCCTGGAGCCTCGGCCAGCCCCGGCGCAGGGCTCTGCCCCCCTGGGGCGCCCCTCGGTCCCCACTTACACACCAGAGGGAGGCAAGGAAGGGGAACGAGGTTGGCGCTTCTCTCCCCTACCTGGCCCCGCCCAGTCTCCCGCCCATCTTGATTGACAAAATTTGTGGTCCACGAGGAAGCCTTGGATTGTGATGGATGTCTATGGCAGCCAATAGGCAAAGACAGAGGGCGGGTCCGTCCGCAGCATAGCCTATGTGCGGCTGTTGGGGTCGCGAATCCATAAAGTTTAGAGGGTTAAAGGGGCTGCGTGGTTTTGCAGTCCCTGAGCTCCTCTTCTATTTCCCTCGCCTCCTCTCCACTTCGGGTTGCGCCGCCTGGGCTCCTGTCATCTGTCTTGCGGGGCCCTCCGGATACGGATACCTGAGAAGGGCTAGAAGTTCATTCTCCCAGGATCAGAGACTAGAGCTTGGCGTCTGGGCGGCGACCTGCGGGGTGGGGGTCAAGGTGGGGAACCCTGCCTCCCCCGGGCCCCGCCTTACACTGGGAACCTGCTTGACTCAGGTGGCCAGCTTTAGAGACCAAGGTCTCAGAACGAACCTTCTCTTGGCAGCCCTCACCCACCAGCATCAGCTCGGCCGCGTAGAGTGTCCGATGCTCTGAGCTGCGGGCGATCCTAGTAAGCACTTGATTGGGCCTCCCGCGTTTATCAGATGAGACAGCCGAGTCCTCTGGCCAGAGACCCCGGCTTCCTCAGAGCCCAGATCTGACTCTTGCTCCGTGTTGATGGGAGACTTACTAGTTCTTTAGCAATGTTTCTCTGTGCTGAGGTTTCTTCACCTATAATTAGGGGACAACAAAGGCCCCTAATTCCATGGGGTTGTTGTGAAGATTAATCTCGTTAATAAAGTACTTAAAACAGTGCCTGGCACATGGCCAATGCTATATACAAGAAAGCGGTAATATTTATTGTCAGTGTTACTGAGCTAGGACCCAGTGAGTCTCGGGCGTCCCTGCGAATGGCTGGGCAGTAGGTCTCACAGGGCCTCACTCCTGCGCACACCAGCATGCCATGGGAGGAACCACATAGCTAACACTTCTGCGACAGTCTGGCAGTGCCTCCTTCTTGCATGAGGAAACTGCAGGTAGTACTAAGAAATTCTCTCTTCATCATTTTGGTGGTGGTTTTTAGCCTGAGGGCCTGACTGGGAAAATTGTATCTTTTAGACAAGACATTCTTTCCATTCTTAATATCTTGGAAGCCAAACCTAACAAGTCTGTCGACCAGTTCAGTGTCGTAATTGCCGCGGTGTCTGTTTGCTTCAGAAGG